CTGCCCCCCTATTCTTAGAATAGTTTCAACAGGTCTCATATTTCCATTTTTTACATGAGTACACAATATTTTCACCACATTCACCCTTTCCTTATATCCTCCCCCCTGTCACTGGTACCAGGACCTGTTTTACCATCCTATCTTCCATTTTTGAAAAAAGACATTTTTGTTTGTTTTAGAAAGCTATACAGGGAGTTTCATTATGACATTTCCATGTGTATATGTATTATAACCTGAACTGCTTCATCCCTTCCATTGTTCTCCTTTCTACCTTAGTTCCCTTCTTATGGTGATTTCAACAGTTTAAAAATTCTGTATTCATTCTTGTATAGAAAGTGCATCAACCATCTTCACCTTCTTAACTTCCTTCTTTTACCTCCCCCTTTTGTATGTGCCTTCCCTTAACAACACCTGTTTTTCATTCTTTCTTAAGTTGTTTAGGTTCGTAGGTCAGTGGGATTTTTGCCTTGGTTTTATGCCTGTACATGCATTGTACTTAAGTCAACGTAACCCCTCTCTATGTCGCCCAGCTTTTTACTTCAGTGCTTAGAGTTATTATCTCTTATCTCCATCCAAATCTCTTACACTTGGAGACAGCAATTTATCTCTAAAGAATGAAATCATGTCATTTGCAGGAAGAAAGATGGAAATGTAGATCATCACATTAAGCAAAAAAAGCCAAACTCAGAATGATAAATATCACCTGTTTTCTCTCATATGTGGAATCTACATTTTTAAAAAGACATGAAAGTAGAGGTGGACTATTTGGGAAGGGAAGGGGACCAGTGGGAGGAGGAAAGGTGGGGACGAGAGAGGGCAAAGGAAGAGAATACGGCCAAAGTATATTTTATATATATGTATGAAAAATGTCATAATGAAATGCATTATTTGCTACAATTAATATATGCTAAGAAAAATTAAAACAATAAAAATAAAAAAGAAATTTATCTCTAAATTTCTTACATTCCTTCTTCACTGGGCTTCACCAGGAAGTTAGTTTTTATGTTAATTGTTCTTTGTGGGTGTTTTCTATTTAGTTCATTTTTTAAAAATGAGATTGTATTTTTTTAAGAACTTTGTTCCAGAGATTTATTAATTAATTATGAAAGTTTTACCCTGTCAACTCTGTCAGACTATTTTATAAACAGATCCAGAAATTTTTTATTTTCTTTTTTGCATTCCTGGGGATTGGGATTGAGTGCAGAGTCTGTGTATGCTAGGCAAGTATTGTCCCATGAGCTGCACCCACAGCCCTGGAAGTATTTTCTCATAATTTCTTATACTTTCAATGAAAATCTTTCAATGAAAATCTTTCAATGAAAATCTGAATGTCATTCCTGTTTCTCTTATGATTTTAACCTTCTTGAGTGACTGAAGAAAAGCAACCAGACACGACAATTATGTTTCTACTTCTCTTTCTTTTTTTGCATTTACAGATTATGTTTTGTTTTGTCTTCAACTTTTAATACATCAGTATTAATTGGTGTTGAAAATATATTCATCAATTAAAATAAAAATGTGTTTGTGTTTTGATAAAGTAAATATTTACTATAAATATGACCCCTTTTTTTGTTTATTCTAGCTGCACTATTCTATTCAAATTCTACTCCATTACTTATCATTTTTGTATGTTTCTTGAGATAGGATCTAGCTATGTAGCTCAGACTGGCCTTGAACTCTCAATCCTCCTGCCTCAGCTTCCTGAGTGCTGGGATTAGAGGCATGAATCACATGCCTAGCTGTATTTCCAATCTTTTTTTTTTATTCATTTATTCACATGTGCACACATTCTTTGGGTCATTTTTCCCCTCTGCCCTCCTCCCCTACTCTCTCTTCCCCCCCACCAGCTCCAGGCAGGTCCTGTTCTGCCCTTATCACTAATTTTGTTGAAGAAAAGGTATAAGCATAATAAGGAAGACAAAGTGTTTTTGCTACTTGAGTTAAAGACAGCTATACAGAAATATTCCTAGCATTGCTTTTGTGTACACGTGTGTTACAACCCATGTTGATTCATCTCTAACTGATCTTTGCACTGGTTACTGATCCCCTTCTCATGTTAACCTTTGTCGCTTTAAGGTTTCTGTATTAGTTCCTCTGGAGTGGGGACATCAAACACTTTCATGTTTTGGGTTTTCTACCTATTCCTATATATCCTGTATGTGCTCTTCCCTTATCATGTGATCCAAGTCCAACCACTTTGCTGCATTTGCCCTAGATCTAAAGTCTGCATATAAGGGAGAACATATGATTTCTGGTCTTCTGAGCCTGGCTTACCTCCCTCAGAATGATG